TAAATAACATGCAGACTGTAATGCACTGGCTAATATTGCAATTACTTTGACAAAGATCATTCCAAACATAAGAGAGAGAATATCGAAATATTACCTAATTTTTAATTTATAAAAAACTCCAGTGGGTGGCACCAAGTCTCTATCCCTTCCATACCAAGTCACTGAATCATTTGATCAGATTCGTTCAAATCATTAGGCTCGTTTGAGGTGCGCCTCGCCTTGACTGCATTGTAAACGAGAGCAGGCGTGCGCAGTAAGAGGAGGGCTCAAAAATTACATCAGAAGTCGGACACTTGCCGAATCTCGCTGTTTAGCCACCTGGAAACGTCACCAGTGGCGGAGATCTCGTTCGCGTTTTTTATCGCAGACGAATGACCTCATGAAAAAATACTATGGTGATTTATAGTAAATATTATTGCATTTTTGAACATGTTTATTCAGTATTGGGTTGTGTTTATAGTTGTTGTAATACTTGAGCAACTATAAAATTTAAATAGGCTATTTTATAACATGGTTCAAAAGCACTACAGTATACATTACTATAGTATTTTTTAATATGGGAGTGGATGCAATAGAAATATCACAGTTTTTACAAAAAAGATGGTCAGAATTACAGAAGATGAACAGCTCATTAACTAAAAGGGTGTATTAAAATATAATTCTGTATATTCAACAAACGTTAAAAGAATAACAAAATAAACAGCTTATACAGCAAGAAAACTTTCAAGAAACCTAATTTGGCTACATTATAAATGAAGTAGCCATAGATGCTTTTGAGTGACGGGTCATGACAAATGTTTGTTTGACAAATAAATTCTTAGGGGGTTAATTATATTGACAAGCTTATTAGGTCTATATAATCTGATATTACTCCAGCCAGACTAAAATAAACAGCCTAAGACTTTCTCCAGAATAAAAACTATTAGACTGTAGGAAAAACTGTGGAAATGTTCTTGGTCTACTAAACATGACTTTTGACTTCACATACATATACATATACATATGTGTGTGTCTTGTGTACTACACCCTTTTCACTTCTCATATGAAACCACACAAAGATGAGGCATAATGACAAAACAGTCTGATTACCTTTAATTGTATGTCTGAATATATGTATATATTGGATTGACTTTCATTGAATGACGCTGCATAAAAATTACAATACAAAATTCACACAAACATACAAAAAGTGAAAATGACAACAAACAGGACTTAAGACTGAGAGAGAAATAGAATACAGCACACACACATCCTAATGATTTATTAGTAACATTTAGTTATATTGGATAGGTCACGTCATGTTTTACAAAGATGTGTTTTGTTTTTGTTTGCGTGTAAATCTAAATAAATAAACATATTTAATGCTCTTTATGACTTTTTTTTAATTATCAACGAAAATACAAAAAGGGTATTCAACAAATCCAGGTATAAACCTTAGTAAAACAAGATAATAAAGTGTAATGTGTCAGTCTCATCCAATGAGCATTCAGCTGTGTCGTCAGCCAGTCGTTTCCCATGATGCTTTTGGTAACGTAGTCTTTTGAGAGCAACTGCGGCCGACTGCTCTATCCGAGGTACCCGCCTCGCGATCGCGAGAGTTTTTTGGCGCACGTCAGCGTGACATCAGAGCGAGGCGAAGGCAAGGCGGACACATTTCTAACCGGCATGCATCTTGCGGTGATCACCGTTCCAGTGGTGCCCCCAGAAAATTTTCATAGGGGGGGCCAGAAGAGGCCACACCAAATCTTGGGGTGGCACACACAAAAAAAAAATGAATTCAGTGTAATGTTATATTTTTGCTTTTGGTAAATTAAATAATGTGATTTTAATTCATTTAATTAATTAGTCTTACAATGTCGCAATTTATTCCTTGAAATAATTCAGCAAGTACATGTGCAAACCAAATAAAAATCAATATTTAGTTTAAAAACACTTCTCATATATAGAAATAACTTTTCAGTTATTTTTCACATACATTTATTGTACAGCATACAGTATATGCCATGTCTAAAATTAATTGAGATTAATGAGTTAAATAATAAAACAAACAAGTGAACAAACTGAACAAACTGTGTCAATGACAATCAGGGAGGGCAGTGGTGGTTCTAGTTTAGATGACACCCTGGGCGAACCACCCCATATACCCACCCTCCTTAAATAGTTACATTTATTTTTCAATAAATATAAAAATGTACTTATATTTATTCTAAATAAATACAATTATTGTTAATATTATTACACAATTATTATTCTAAATAAATAACAGACATCAATCCTAAATGTTACTGGAAAACAATGTAACAGAGTGATATGCTAAGATCACTTAGGGAACCTTTTGCATGAATATTAGTTATGACAATTCTATAGAATACAAAAATATGTGTTTTATAGAATTATCTGTGGTCTTAGACATGAATTATGGCCGAGAAATAATGTTATGAAGTCTTACCTCCCTGACTCTTCATCCCTCCTTTCTGCTTTATAGCCATGCTTAGTGAAAGTATCATCATCATATTATATAAACTTTAGTTTTGTCGACTTTCAAAACTAAACACCTGACACCTCTTCACAAAAGGTTTACTCCATCAGCGTTGTTTCGGTTGCACACAGAGAACGCGTGCAAAAGATGTGAACGGCCCTTAATGTCTTTATTCTGGGATTGCCACTCTAAGTTAACACGTGTGCATAAAGTAAATGGTATCCCAATGCTTTTACTAAGGGATGTTTTTGTGGCACCATCTCCGCCTGCCGGATACTTGTATATATTGATTGTCTTCATTCCAACCTCCTTTTCCAGCTTCCTTTAATAATACTGAAAGATTATTGTAATACAATTTTATTGCTTTACTCTAACCCAGGGGTGCCCAAGCATGGTCATAGAGGGCCGGTGTCCTGCAGATTTAACTCCAACTTGCCTCAACACACCTGCCTGAAAGTTTCTAGTATACAAATAGAGCTTGAGTAGTCGATTCAGGTATGTTTAGTTGGGGTTGAAGCCAAGTCTGCAGGACAAAGTTTGGGAACCCATGCTCTAACCCTTGCCTAACACAGTCAATTTAGCAGACATCCACAACAAAATTGGCGCCCCAGATGGGACCTCACTATTGAGTGGATTGAAAATCATGGTTGGTGTCAGTATACAACCCTTCAAGCCTTGTGTTTCATTTGTCCACAACTGATAAACACTGATATTGGCCACTCATTTCCTTCTCTTGAATCGTCGCCATATCTCGGATCTGACATTGAGTTGGTAACTTTGTTCATTGTATGTCCATGAGAGATGGAAAAAGATTGCGTTCGGTACCATCAGAAGTTGAGTTTTTGCATCACACCTGAACCCATTGTCCTCCATATTCCTTATCTCTATATATTAAAGGAGATTTGCGCATTGTGACTTGCTTTTTCATCTGAAGGGCCAATTTCCTCTCAGAAAAATTATGCCAAAAGTTAAGTCAGTTCAGAAATTCAAAATCTAAATCAATTGTTTTTCTTGACATGTGTAGATTCTTTCCATTTCCAAGAATAAATCTTTTCTCCCCATAAGGTGCAAGAATTGACTTGCCCGTGTTTTTGGTGTCATCAACCTCAGTATCAATCAGCTGTGGATGAAAGTAGCAAGACTTGAGTGGTTGTATACCGACACCAACCCTGATTTTCCAACTACTCAATAGTGAGGTTCCATCTGGAGTGCCAAGCTTGTTGTGAAGTCTGCTAAATTGGCTGAGTTAGGCAAGGGTTAGAGTAAAGCAAAAACAATTGTTTGTTACAATAATCCTGCAGGATGACACCTGTTACAAAGTTTATAAGCGAATAAGTGTAAGTGACTGTGTTTCAATCTGCACAGCTGTGAGATTTTATACCCCTCAGTGGATGTAGACACAAGGTCATGCAAAACTTTGGAAAGATACATCTGGGACAGTTACAATGTGTGTGGCTCGGCGTTGGCTGGTACATCATTTTTGCATTCTACAAAATATTAAGCTGATCATTGAAATTTCTACCACAAGCTGCGCTCACAAATTCTACCGTTACTTCAAATTAAAATGGCAAATTACAATTCAATAGACATCCAGTTGTGTTCAAAGATCTTCAATCCTCTTTGCGCCATCTAGTGCTCATTTTAGGACTCGCCTGGCTGCTGAAGTAATTTGGCAATCGATTGGCAACAACTTTTTATTATGTCATAGTAACTTTAGTACCTCAATCCCACAGGCAGCCATACTGTTGCCATAACGTTCACAAAACCTCTTTCTATTTCATGTCCATCCATCAGCACAGTCCTCTTTTGTAGTGACATTTTAATAGATGTGTAAGGAAGTGATTCTGTGCCACTATTGGACAATGTTACACATGGAAAGGAACCTACATAGACTGGGGAAAGTTAAACAGGCTAGACCAGGGGTCCAAACTTGGTTCAGGAGGGCTGAGGTCCTGCACATTTTAGTTCCAACCCCAATTAAACACACCTGAACCAGCTAATCAAGCTCTTTTTAGGTATACTAGAAACTTCCAGGCAGGTGTGTTGGAGGAAGTTGGAGCTGGGACACCAGCCCTCCAGAACCGAGTTTAGACACCCCAGGGGTAGACTTTCTGTTTTGACTTTGTCCAGTGTTGCACACATTCCATCAATTGTGGTGCACTGACACACTACACAAAAAGAAAAGATTTAAGCTGGTGGACCAACCCCTACACCCTACATCAAGCAAATTGTACCCTGCTCCTGGAGATCTTCCGTCCTGCAGAGCTCAGCTCCAACCCTGATCAAACACAACTAAACCAACTAGGTAGAATCTAAAGGAGCACTAGGTAATTAAAGACAGGTGTGGTTGATCAAGGTTGCAGCTGAACTCTGCAGGAAGGTAGATCTTTGGGAACTGGATCGGACACCTCTGTATTCATTCATTATTATTTTTATTCATCAGGGATCACCAATAGCGGAATGAACCGCCGACCTCTGTATTAAATTATGGTTAAATTGTGTTGCTCTCTTTCCACCTTAGACCTGATGCCTGTGAAAGAAGAAGAGATTCAAGACTTGAACATCATCAAGGTGGAAATCGATCTAGATGAGAAGCATCACGAATTCATGTCTGGAGAAAAAAATAGCATCTCCCAAACTGAAAATACGTTTTCGGAGGAAGAAGCTGGAAGTACATTTCATAGTTCACATAGCAGTAATTTCAACTTGCAAACAATTCACACTGCAGAGAAGACTTTCAGCTGCCAACAGTGTGGAAAGAGTTTCAATAAAAAAGGAAACCTCAAAGTCCACATGACGATTCACACCGGAGAGAAGAATTTCAGCTGCCAACAGTGTGGAAAGAGATTCAATCAACAAGGCAGCCTTAACGTCCACATGAGAGTTCACACTGGAGAAAAACTATTCACTTGCCAGCAGTGCGGGAAGAATTTCAGTCAAAGGGGAAACCTTATTAACCACATGGTCGTGCACAACAGCGAGAATACATTCACCTGCCAACAATGTGGAAAGAGCTTCAATCGGAAAGGAAACCTGAAAGTCCACATGAGAGTTCACACTGGGGAAAAGCCTTTCACCTGCCAACAGTGTGGAATAAGTTTTGCCCAAAAAGGAGGTATTGACGAACACATGAGACTTCACACTGGAGTGAAGACCTTCATCTGTCCGGAGTGTGGAGTAAGTTTCACTCGAAAAGGAAACCTGAAAGTCCACATGAGAATTCACACTGGAGAAAACCCTTACACCTGCCAACAGTGTGGGATGAGCTTCATTTTAAAAGCGACCCTTAAAAGACACATACGAACGCAACATGTAGAAAGCGGTTCACCTGCTAGCACCGCGGAAAGACATTCACCCAATAAGAAAACCTTAGAAACTACATGAGAATTCACGCTAGATAGAAGAGATTGGCTTGCCAACAGTGTGGAAACATATTAGATCATATTAGCGCATGACACACACTAATGGATACTTGCACACACACACTTTTATTCAGATTTATAAAGCAGTCTCTCTTTCCTAAAGGAAATAAAAATGTATTCAAATCACAGTACTGCAAATAAGCTAAGCTTCAGATCAGGGGTGTCCAAACTCAGTCCTGAAGGGCCGGCGTCCTGCAGTTTACTTGGAACTAAACTTTGCAGGACACCGGTCCTCCAGGACCGAGTTTGGGATGTAGATTTTGGGATGTAGATTGAAATAACAAGATGAAATACACATTTAGCTAGCAAAATCTTAAGATTTGGCTTGTCGATTCTTCGTGTTCCCTTGTGCACTGCAATCTCTATTGTTTACAAGATGTCTTTGCAATGGCCAACATCACCAAAATACTTCTAATATCTGTGCTAATGTAACATGTAAACCAGGGGTGGTCAACCCTGTTCCTGGAGATCTACATTCCTACAGATTTAAGTTGCAACCCATATCATAAACACACCTGCCTGTAATTATCAAGAGCAGTTCAGTTCCTAATTAATTGGATGTGTGTTTGATCAGGGTTGGAGCTGAACTCTGTAGGAAGGTAGAGCTCCGGCAACAGGGTCGAGCATCTCTGATGTAAACTAATACAGACAATCATTCCTTAGTTTTAGAACATATATTGTTGACAGCCAACCAGAACCCTTTCTGAGGCTTCTGATAGGCCAACATGACTTTTACAGTCAGGAATATATTTCCTACTGTTGCTTTGGCATGCTCTTGACTAGGGGTGTCCAAACTTATTCCTGGAGGGCTGGTGTCCTGCATAGTTTACCGCCAACTTACTTCAACACACTTGCCTAAAAGGTTTACTAAAATATGTAGGACACCGGCCCTCCACGTCCGAGTTTGGACACGCCTGGTCTAGTCCTTTAGGAGCAAAGATAGGCAGGTATTTTTGGTGTGGACACTGTGTGCTCTGGACCAATCTACCTTCCTGCAGAGTTCAGCTCCAACCCTGATCAAACACACCTGAACCAATTAGATAGGACCTGAACAGCACTTGATAATTACAGGCAGGTGTGTTTGATATGGGTTGGCACTTTAATCTGCAGGTAGGTAGATCTCCAGGAACAGGGTTAGGCACCCCTGATTTAGACTGTTACCTGCAGCCAGGGTTTGTCATTGTTTGGGGTTGTGTTAGTGCCCTTGGCAAATGTAACTTGCACTTCTGTGATGCACCTTTAATGCTGAAAAGTACATTTTGGAGCACATCATGCTGCCTTCTTTTCCAGGGATGCCCATGTATATTTCAACAAGACGATGCAAAACCACATCCCGCACACATTACAAAGTCCTGGCTGCAAAGGAAGAGGATACAGGTACTTGACTGGCCTGTCTGCAGTCCCGACTTGTCTACAATAGAGAATGTGTGGCACATTTTGAAGGTCAAAATGCGACAGCGAAGACCCTGTACTGTTGCCCACCTTAAGAATTGTTTGAAGGAAAATAAGGATAAAATTACACCTGAAACACTTCATCGCTTGGCGTCTTCAGTCCCTACATGTCTTTTAAGTGTGGATAAAAGGAATGGCAATATTACAAAGTGGTAAATGCTTTACATTTATTTTTGAAATGTGTTGCAAGAGCCAAAATTGGAATGTGTTTATTTAGAAAAAAAACATTAAATAATGTTTGTTGTACTGTCTGCAATGAAATGCAAGTCTTTTTTTATTTGTGTTTTCCAAACATGAAAATCCAAACATGAAATTGCATGTCACTAGTGTAAATTGCATATATTATATAGGCTGTTTCTAAATATCAAGTACGCAAAGTTCGGACTTGCGTCCTTGGAAGTTAAGACTTGTCAAGTTCAAACTTGGAAGAACGAACTCCCGAGGATGCAAGGACACGAACAATCTTCGAACTTACGTCACTATGGATTCATCGGTTTTATTGTACATTAACAATAAAATTATTATATAAAGCACCTGGAGCTCCTGCTGGCAGGCTGGGAGTCGGAGTCCGCATAACCTAAGGGCACATCATCAAAGACGCGCCATCTTTGTGAATAATCTGCCGATTCGAGTTTAAAACAACTACATTCTCGTCTGAAAAACTCTTAAAACTTTATTTTGTGACACAGTACAGGAGTATTTTTAAAACCGTGCGGGTTTTCTCCTCCACCATTAGCGTTTGCTGGTTTCGCTGCAATGAATTCTGGTATACCTGAGCTTCGCACAAGTCACCTCTTGATGCATCCTTGGCCAAAGGGGCAGAGCAAGTACACATCTGGGGATTTTATCTGTACTTGGCAAGATGTGAACTTTGAATTGGAACAGTACTTTGGCGACGATTGATGATGACGTTTCACGAGGACACAAGAACGCAAGTACAGACAGGAACGCATATTGAGAAACAGCCATATTGACTTGTTTGCTAGCTTGCAGGCTCAAAATAGCAAAAGGTAACTTGGGGAAAAGTTTTTCTTTAGTTATCAAATGAAAGCTGTGCAGACATCCCAAGTTGGGAAAAGTAATTTCCGGGGGATACAGAGTTGATTTGCGGGTGGTTGCAGGATAGTAGGTGCCTGAAGAGCTGTGGGGGTGAGTTGTGCGCGAAATACCGCGAGAGCGGTGGGGGTGAGTTGCGCACAACGTACCTTAGGAGCGGTGGGGGTGAGTTGCGCACAACGTACCTTAAGAGCGGTGGGGGTGAGTTGCGCATGACGTACCTGAAGAGCAGTGGGGGTGATTTGCGCGCGACGTACCTGAAGAGCTGGGTGGGATGTGGTGGAAAGGGGTGTGCGACGTATTTAAGGACCGGGCAGAAGACGTGCGATTTCAGGGAGATTATCAGTTATTTGCGAGCATCCGGGAGTCTCTATGCATTTGCGGGATACTCCTGCAACTTCCGGGAGACTTGGGATGTCTGGCTGTGTTCAGTCTAGTTAAGCTGAACTGCCAAGCTTAGAATGCACAATTATATTTTTTATCGACTAAAGAGGACTGATGGAAGTTTGTGTTGAACCTGTTAGGTCATACTTTTAATTATTTTACTGTAAAAGTGTTTTATTGTTGTGTGTATTTATACTGTGACAACCTTATATATATTATTTTTAATTTTTACATTATTTTAAAGGTCTCCCTGCTAAAAAATCCAGCTTAAACAAGCCTAGGCTGGTTGGCTGGCTTTAGCTGGTTGACCAGCTTGGTTTTAGAGGGGTTTTGGCCATTTCCAGCCTGATCTTCAGAATCTTATCATCTTATCAGATCTTATCAGGCTAAAAAAATGACCTGCTAAAACCAGCTTGACCAGCCTGGTTTAAGCTGGACATAGCTGGTTTGGGCTTGGCTTCCAGCCTGGCTAGGCTGGTCAAGCTGGTTTTAGCTGGTCATCTCCCAGCCTGACCAGCTAAGACCAGGCTGGAAATGCCCAAAACCCCTCTAAAACCAGCCAACCAGCTGTTTTTTTTTTCAGAAGGACTTTGTTTTCTACTTTTTTTTTTTAAATCTGGTTTTTATTCTTTTTGGACATCAATTTTAGATGTAAACTTTTCAATGTTTTGTTTTTAAATGACAATTTTTCAACATAAAATGTTAACATCTAAGAATCATTTGTTAGTCTTTGTATGAGGGTGATACACGTTGGTTGAAGATGAATGTCATCTTTTCTTTTTTTGATTTCCCTTCCTTAAAGTACATATATCCCTGTATGAAGCACTTTAAAACAACTCGGTACAGCAGGTCGCGGTATGCACCTGGAAAAGTTTTTTGTGACCCGCCAATAAACTAGGGATGGCTGATGTGAAACTGACGTTACGACACAGTGTCGAGATCCCGAAGCGCAAGTGTTTCGAAACACTGCACCGAATTATGATCCAAAACACCGGGGTCACGTGACTAAAGTGATTTGAAACACCCAGGTCATGTGGCTAAAGTGATTCGAAACACCGAGGTCACGTGGCTAAAGTGATTCGAAACACCGAGGTCACGTGGCTAAAGTGATTCGAAACACCCAGGTCACGTGGCTAAAGTGATTCGAAACACCCAGGTCACGTGGCTAAAGTGATTCGAAACACCCAGGTCACGTGGCTAAAGTGATTCGAAACACCGAGGTCACGTGGCTAAAGTGATTCGAAACACCGAGGTCACGTGGCTAAAGTGATTCGAAACACCGAGGTCACGTGGCTAAAGTGATTCGAAACACCCAGGTCACGTGGCTAAAGTGATTCGAAACACCCAGGTCACGTGGCTAAAGAGATCCAAAGCATCAGGGCGGCCCAAGTGTTTCGGGACGTGGCATACCTGCCGAATCAGCGTTTGATTGACAGGGTCGTAAACAAATCACAATCGCACATATGTCTAAATCTAATTTTAAAAAAAAGGTAAAAATGGTGTTATCTCATGTTCAATTTGTGGGTTTTTGTGAGAGGAGAGATATTTTGCGATTTAGTGACATTTATAGTGCATATTTAAGCTACAATAAAACTTTATTGATAGACAGGATATAGACACTGATAAATAGTTATAGGATACATTTGCTGATACATTGATAAGCATACATTTATAGGCATACATATACATCCATAGGCATACACATACAACCATATAGGCATACATATCCATAACTTAGATAGTGCATAGTATTAGATAGATAGATAGATAGATAGATAGATAGATAGATAGATAGATAGATAGATAGATAGATAGATAGATAGATAGATAGATAGATGAAATAGTAATGGATGCTCCACGCAAGAGATGCCGTCCATCTGTGGTGTGGGAGCATTTCCATTTGGAAACACTGTGTAGCGGCTTTCCAATGCCGCAATTGTTGGTAGAGTGAGCAAGTTTTAAACGCGTAAAAGTCAGAGTCCGTAAGCAAATAGATGCAAATAAAAACGTATTTATTTTCCAGTCAACTTCCAATCAACAGAATTACTCGATCACTTTCCTTTATCTATAAGCACACTTCTCTGTTACCTTGAGTTGAGTTGAATTACACTCAGTTACGAGACGAGACGTTCAGTTACGAGTCAAGACGGTCAAAAACTGTGTGCTTCCTACCAACACTGTCTTAAGGCTGATTTATACTTCTGCGTCAAACGCCGGCGTATGCTATGGCGCTGACGCATAGCCCTTCGCCGTGGCCATCGGCGTCACTGACGTGCACCTCTTAAAAAATGTAACTACACGTCGCAACAACGCGTAGCGCAAGCTCTGTGATTGGTCGGCTTGGTAGAGCTGATGAGTCTGGGCGGGACCGAGAGCCGCGCGAATGACGCGAGCGATTGTTTACAAGTGTGGAGTCCCGTGAAGGAGCTCCGGATGGAAAGTTTTGTTTTGTGTTTACCTCATAGTTAAAGTTGTTGCACGTCCGCCGGTTCCTGCCTCAAAATGAGCAAGTTTGAGCCACTTGTACATCCCGGAAGTGTTCAGGAAAAGCAAAAAAGCAGAGAAGAAACTCGACACAGAGGAAGATGTACACCTCACTGCCAACTAGCGTTTCGGAAGTGTTAATGTAGACCAAAAGAGACAGCGCGCAGAAGTCTAAATGCACAGCCACACGCGTTGCATGCGCCGTGGGTTATGCCGGTCACTTGACGCAGAAGTATAAATCAGGCTTTACACCATGCAGTGAAGCCACACTTATATAGTCTCTACTGACACCTTGTGGCCAATCGCCAATATACAATGTATATTCACACTGAATAAAGTGAGATGCATGTATTGTGATAGGCAGCTAGCCTATTGCAATAATACATCATCCATTCTGCGCCATTTGAGGAGCACTCATCCTGCCATTTCGGGAGATGCAGAGGATGGCCCTGTACCTAGACCTGCTAGTCACACCGCTGGGTCATCT